GCAGAAAACAGCAATTACAATGTTTCTTTCCAGTGAACTTAAACTACAGAAGAAAAAAATTAAAATAGAAAAAGAAGAAAACATACTGGTGACCAGGGTCCTTTTGAATCCACAGAGGATATGACAGTTTTTATTCAGATGGTCTCTGTTAAGTTTCATTTGTTGATGGAGGTCTCCTCTCTATCCCTCCATTTAGCCACTGCTCCTTTAAGCATTTTCCATTAACTTGGAGTAGCTTTGATTCACTCAACCTCATCTCTCCTCTGTCCCACATACTTTAAGTTAGGCTTAAAATCCATTGTGCATCCACCTGTCCTACAGATCCTCTTTACCAATTTCCTATCACAAACAATCATCACCGAAAATAAATGCTGTTAAAAAGAGAGACTAAATCCATTTTCATCTTCTTTTAGATGCCTTATCTAGGAGAGTGGTAAGGTAAGTCTTAAGCTGAGATAGAAAGAGTCAAACAGGGGCCTGTAAGCAAGTGATTTTTTGAATAGACAGACATGGAAAGAGAACAATAACCAAAACACAATCAATTGTCAAATCTACTTAAAATAAACATTCTTAACTTTCCTTGCTGATGCAGAACATAAACTAATGAAACACTGGAAATATTGAACATCTTGTTATGTTCACCTCCAATAAAAGTAAAGCCAGAAATGCAGGGGTTCAAAATACCCTGAAGAAAGAACTATTTGCTGTTAACTTGGGAGCTCCGGGACCAGATCCCTCACCCCATGTGGAACAGCCATGTTTCACACTTTCTCTATCCCACGGGAGTCTGGCCTGCCCATGGCCCACATCAGAGGTATCCCCCTGAGTAGAGCACCACAGGGGCGTTGCTCCACTCTTTCGCTTTATATCCACAAACTTAAATCATTTTCCACCAAAATTATCACTATTACTGTCTTAAATTATAAATTAATATTCTTGAAAATAATACTTCTTTTACTTTTTATGGAAAAGTATGTGGAAACATACAGTATCAGTTTTTCCCAACTATTTTGGAATGAGCGTCACTGCCTTGTCCAGATGCTTCGACTTTGGCAGCAGTGTGTTCCATCACATTGAGGAGACCTCATCTTTGAGGTCATTTTCAGAAGCAGCTCTCACTTAAAAAATCATTATGAATATGTAAGCACAGTCTTTTTCCTTCTTGCTGCACAGCTTTTGCTGGGAATGGTTAAACTGCAAAAACACTCAGCCCTTTTTCTCTTTTGGTTAGGATACCTGCTCATGGGATGTACAGATCTTATGGGATTTTTTTTAAGAAAAGGCACACAAACATACAGAGAACACCAGGACTGAGGAGGGATGATTTTGTCTACAGCACCTGGCCCACACGGGTAAAAGCACCCAGCGCTGGGAAGTGCCACTGTCATCAGTTCCCAGTGCTTTGGGAACCATTCACACAAGGAGTGTGACTTCTCCAAGTCCTGCTGAGTTGGGAAGATGCACCAGAACTTAATTCTGTGCCAAAAAAGACAAGGGCATTGTGGTTCAGGGTCAGCCTGACATGCTGTGTAAGGACATGGGGGCTGAGACCCCAGAGTGGGACTGGGCTGAGCAGCACATGAATCTCTACAAAGTGGGAACACAGGTGGGTCTGCAGGTCATTTGGATCTGAGTTTTAAACACCAAGTTGTTCAGGCACAAAGCAAGAATATTGTAAATCCAAGGAAGACCAGGATCAACTTGTGACACTGCCTGCTACTATCCAAGCAGCAGCATGAAATGCTTTTTGGAAAATATTATAAGGACAGAAAAAAATTCCTCATTTTTTAAAAAAATGTCCACCCATGTAACAACAGAAATGAAAAAGCAACTGTGTAGGAAAAGTTGTTTCCATGAAGAAAGAATGAAGCATTAAATACTTGATATTTTCCTGAATTTATAAATCAAAATAAACTTTTAAAGTTTTCCTGTTAATGGCATGAAAATAATCATCAGTCTTTCCTTAAGTGTCTACAGTACATAGTCACAGCCCATTAAGACAACGTGTCAGCATTGTTTATAACAGGATTTAAATGAAATAATCAAGTCATCAGGACTATTTCAACATCAATAAAGCCTCAGAGTGTTCATTATGTACAGCCATGAAACAATACCTTTTTTGCATACTTTCCCTGATCAGATTAAAGTGGTGATGAATTCCTCGATGGCTCAAGTGTGCTCCAAGGAAAGCTAGAAGGTTGTACAGTTAACTCCCAGGGTGTAACTCTAAACCATACAACCTACTACCTCAACCCGGATGCACACAGCTTCCGACGGTGACCATAAAGTCTTCTTCACTTCTTCAGCCTTTCTTTGAAATAGGCCTATATATTTCCCAGGGGGGTAGGCTTTCAACTGTAGTTATTCCCCACTTTTCAGACAAAAAGACATGTTCTTAGATAGGTTTTTCTACTGCAGAGGCAGAATTTCTGTTCTATGCTGTTTATATATGTATAAAGATATATACGTGTGTTGTGTGCGTATATATATATACATACATATTTGATGGGAATGACGCAAGCCCAACTACATTTCTGGAAAAAAATTGATATTTGGCCTTATTTTACAATAAAAATAAAATACAAAAATCTTCTTCGTTTTTCTACATTTTTTTTGAGTCTAATACCATGGAATGGTATATTTAATAAAGCCAGGAAACGGTATATCCTACACTCCCTCATTGGAAACCCTACAATTCCCTCACACTTCTTTCTAAATTTTAATAAGATATTAAGCCAAGTATGCTTAAAGTAACCGATAAAAGTACACATCACTTAAGTTTGAAGATAAGGCAACGGACAAGAGAAGCATTCCAAACCCTGTATAGTTCTGTACACTCATTTGGGCTTGTTGTCAGATACCACTGTGGTGTGTGCTACACAGACCTCTGCCAGATCACCACACTGACACAGACCCATAGAAGCGAGCTTGTGCAGTGCGTTTCAACACAAGATCGGATCTACGGGTTTATGCCAATTGGCATCGCTGATTACAATTTTCCTTTTAAAGAGAGACGCAGAAGACTTTAAACAAACAAACATATGACGTGATATAAGAATGAGTATTCAAGATTGAAAGTATTACCATCTACTGCAAAGAAGGCTGTTTCAAGCTTAACTGCATAAATGGTGGAGGAAACAAACAAGCCAATGATTTGTAACTAGTTTCTTTTTGAAAATGGAAGAAAGCCTATTTTACTTTTTTTACAGATTGATGGCACACCATTGTTTGTCTTCAGCAGGAATTAACATCCTTTTGCGCACCCTTTGCCTTCAACAATGAATCCTCAACTCCCAACTTGCACCTGACTATAGCGTGCACACAGCAGGCAAGACTGGAATCAATAATTGGACATGACATAGAAGTAAACAATACAGGTTTGCCCTTTGTGTCTGAGCTCATATCATGTGCTACAACTCAAAATAAAAATCACCCCACCAAATCCGAAAGGCGTGAGGCACACTGGAGTGTTGCTCCCATATGACATTACAAAGACTGCTTAGCTATTTCTTCAACTTACAGCACAGCTACATACTCCTTGACAATAACTTGTTGATTAAACAATGGCTATTAATCAAAGCAAAGAGGTTGATTTGTATATTTTATTCACTAATCCTCCCATCAATGCGATTCCCTAATAATAGGAATGCAAGTGGAAACGCGATCTTGTAAAACTCCAGGGTTAATGCCTACAACAAATCCTTCCTTCTTGTGACTGGCAAGCATAGTATACAAATTATCACACACTAAAAGCAGGGGTACTTCACACAACAGACTGAAAACAGGTCCTTTGGAGTAATAACCAGTAATTCAGAAAGGTGAGACACGGACAGTTTTATAACTTTCATATTCTAAATGAAAGCACTAACAAACACTGCACTTTGAAGCAGAACATCTCACACATCAGAATAACTTTTAACAATACCACCACAAATGCATTTGTAAAATACAGGCATAAGATACAGGTATAATTTTAAAACCAGGTGCTATAAAAAGGTGCCTTTTGATTTCAGCGGGTTACTGAAATCTGTGTCTCAATACCATCTTAATGCCTTCCTTCCACTAGTTTCCACCAAAGGCCTAATTCTGCCACTGTTAGTTGGGCAAAATTCCTTTTAGTAAAATAAATGTTGTCAACAGCAAAGTTTTTTCATCAGGGTAATGCTTCATTTTCTTGCAGACTGCAACATGTATTTTGAGTTCAGTAATGACGGCTGTAAATTAGTGAATTACCTTTTCCTTTTCTTTTTTTTTTTAAACTTGCTAGATTAAATATTGCATGTTCAAGCACACCCTTTTGCATTTTAAAATACTCTTATTTTATTTTTCTAGAACAATCTCTTTTAAACCTGCTTTCACTTTATGTGCAACACTTCAGCATTCAGAAGGAATGGTATTTTTATAGCTGTTTTCTGCTGACACTGAGGAGATAGAATATGTAAAGACAAGACTTCAAACTAGAAGAGCTATACCAGTATCAGAAATAAGTATGCAGACTGCATATACAACTTACTGAATGATTTCATAAGCACTGTAAAATTGCTTTTCCAATTTTCTTTTTTTTTTGGTGAATAGAAGAGATATTCTGCATTTCAAAAATAATCGGTCACTGTGTTACAGTTACATACTAGCAAAAAAAATATATGTATTATAAATATACTAGTGATATGAATATACTAGGAAATATATTATATATATATATAATATATATATGATATATTTACCAGGCATAACCAAAAAGCAAATTATGTTTTAATTTCTCAATTATTTCTAAAACTTCATGTAAACATACAGTATAAAGCTACAGCTTTGTACAGCTACAGTTACATAAACTGCAACATTCCCAACAGAAAGTAACAAGAACAAAAGTGTAATACACATATCTGAAATTATATTTGTAGGCTCTCTTAAGGAAATAATTTATTAAAATCTAAACACCTTCATATTCTTGCTAATAGCTTTATTTTTTAACAAAAGAAATTTCAAGATCACTGTGTTACCTTCGTTGATTTCTGGTATAATTAACTTCTTCATTTTCTTTTTTCATTTTTATTTTTTCTTTCACTAAAATAAAAAAAAAAAAGCGCAAGAGAAAGATTTTGAAATATTTGCTTTTTTTGAAGTGTTTTCTGAACAACATGAAACATACACAAAATTAGTAATTATGCTTTTAAGATATAAACCCGACACACTGCTGACACCCCTCCTCAGGGCCATGGGAAGACATGCTGTGAACACGCACACGTTGGCAAAGGGAATCTTTCATTTACTATTTCCTAGGCTTTTTTCACCCCGCAAATACTTAATTTATATTAGGAATTTCGGAAGGGAAGGAGCAAACTTAAAAGGAAGTACTTTTTATCAGACAGTGAATACAATTAGGTAATTTGGTCCGGAACTTCACAAAAATACTGGGATAAAGTATGTGGCTTAAATCAAAAAACATTTACAAAAATTTATGGGAGGGGGAAAGTGATTAGTATGACCAAATAGAGAATACTGAAAAGTTATTTTAAGCTAATGCAAGCCTTGGTTTCTCAACAGGCTTAGGTACGAATGACAAACAAAACTATTCCAACAAAACTAACAGGGAGGGCAGAATCACCATAAATCTAAGAAATACTTTCTGGTCCAAAATGGGTATATGGAGGTGTATGTGTCATACATATAAGGTCTCCATTCAGCAATTTCCCAGAATTCATTGCAGAACAACAAAAATATAAAGTAGCAAAATTGGCATATAATCTTAGAAGTTACTGCCTAATCAGTAATGTATAAAAAATGAAGCACACGTTAAAACAATTCTATTTTGTAAAGTCATAATACATTTATAAAGTTTTTTATTAGACACACACACATCACGAACATTTGGAAAAAACCCCCAAACTATAACAGTTTCTGATGAAAGAGATACTGTAATTTCAAAGTAATTTCGAGCTGAGGACATCTGTACTTTTAACATAAATTAAAAAGACTAGGAAAATATATAAAAAAATAAATAAATCCAAACTACATAAAACACCGATTTGGCTGAGCTTTTCAAAATCTGTCAGTCAGAATGAATTTTGTTACACACTCTTCTAATTGCCTAGGAATATGTTACAACAGACAGACAAACGCCTTAAGAAAAAAGCTCTACTAAAGCGTCACATGCTCAAAACTTACTTTAACTGTACATGCACTTATCACAAACATTCTGAATGGGTATTTTAAATACTATTTTCAGCTATTCCTGGACAAGTGCTGCTTTACCGAACATCTTAAAATAGTCACTGTTACTAGCTGCAAACCAGGCGTACTTCATGAATGTCCCAATAATGTGCCTTTTATTCCAGTGCTTATCACACTGATTTCTTTGTAATGGATTTAGATACAAACTGTAAGAAACTCATATATGAATTAACTCAATAACAACTTTAATATACTGGCTACAAGAGCGATCCTTTCCTGCAGTTTAACACTTTTTTTTTTTTCCACTTCTCCTCTTTAGAAAGTGAAAGTATGAGTCACACTGTAAAAAAAGAATTTAATTTCCTTAGCAACCAGATCTAAATACCCACAACTTTCTTAGAGATAACCAAAGCTCCAACTGAGTAAATGTAACATTAAGGTCTTTGCATAACTCCAGTGCTTAGCTAAGACAAAATGTGCCTAACAACTTCTACAGACTCTCAATTTTTTTGTTTACTTTCTGTTTTCAGCAGTATTAGATCAAACACACACCCAAAAAGTTAGTTTTAAAAAGTGTGAACATCTGACTACGTTAAAATTAATACACAAGAACTCATTTGCAAAACAACATGTTTAAAACAACTTAAAAAAAAAAGAAAAAGAGGAAAAAAGAAACAGAAGCTATACCTGATATGAAAGGTACGTTTTCACTCAGTGCCAAATACTGCTATATGAGCAATAGTGAAAAAAACAAGCAAACAAACAAAAAATTCACTCCTTCTTTTTTCGTTTCTTTTTCCTTTTTCTTTTTTTTACTTAAAATCTCCTATGTTCATTTTGTTACACTGTTTTAAGCAGCTCTAACATGTCCTGATGCCTCTGTAGTGAAACATGCCAGATTTTTTTTTTTTTTTTTTTTTTGGAAGCAGGAGAGTCACTTTTTTTTCTTTCCTGCACTCTTGTACGTAGGACAAACTCAGATTTGTTTCTTCTTCTCAGGGCTCCTGTTCTTTCTCGGAAGAAGACCAGGATGCCTGTCTTCTCTCTCTCTCGCTCTTCTCGGAATTCCAGGCACAAAGCACTGCGCAAAAGCTGCACCAATCCTTGCCGCAACTGCCTGCACAGGACAAGAGGTGGGGAGAGACCAGAAAATTCACCTCGCCCCTGCGCCGGTTTTATAAATGGGGATTGCACAAATCTGCCCGAGCAAAGGGGTGAAAAGGCAGGGTGCCAGTTTGCTACACTACGCTGCAATGAGCTCATGTTCAATGCTGTCGCCCCGTTTGCCCGGTTCAAACGCCTGTTCATTAAACAGGAGGAAGGAAAAAAAAAAAAAAAGCCACCAGAAAAATAAAAAAAGCAACTTCTATCGTTGAGACCCTCTAAACTACACACCATCAATAAAAAAAATAAAACGTGTAGTTTTAAAACGCAGTTATGGAGTATAAATATTCTGCTTATATTTTCTTTCTTTCTTTTTTTTTTTTTTTCTATTTGGAGATAAGAAGCAGAATTTATCAGGCGTGAAAGGGACAGCCTCCTGGTGGTGTGCCAAAAAAGCCAGAATAAAGGCAAAGTTGTGCTTCAAAGCTCAATCGCTTGCTGAGTCTGGCTAAAGTCAAGTATTAAGATCCACCATTTTCTGAGCCATGTAAGAAAAGAGGAAAAAAGTCAGAACGGGCACCGCTTTCCAAGTCTCCGTTGGCACCATCACAAAATCTCAGCCGTAAGGTCACATGATGCTCTGCCAAATGTGGAGTGCATTCCCATAAACCATTCTGCTGATACTGCGAAGGCAGCTATTGTCTAGTTTATACCCAAAGTTCAGCCCACTCTTCATTGAATTAGCTGAAAAACGCATCACCTTTGGGGGTTGGGAGCCATGGAAACGTCTACCTGGCAGGCTGCCCACTTTTTCTGCCCATCAACCAGAGATGGAATTGTGCTGCCTAATGTAATGATGACGAGGAATGTGAAGAGTCGTCCAAAGTGAATCTGATTCTTGCAAAGCCTGCTTCATTTGCACAGTAAACTCTGGTTTCTTGTCGTTAAAAAGGGGAGGGAGGAGGGAAGAAGAAGAAAAAAAGCGCCTTTCTCCTAAATGTAGCAATTAAAGGTCTAGTAAACATGCCTAGTCTGCAACTTTCCTTCATAACATACTGAAATGGTTCCCAAAATAAAGCACTTGGTATAACACAAATTTTCTGATTTAAAGTAGCACTCGCTTCTCCCCAAGTTAATGTGGCATCCCCTGGACATTTTTTTCTCCCTAAGAAAAAAAGAGAAAAAGAAAGGGAAAAAAACCCTACACAGCAGATCTCTCATTCTTTCTTTTTACCTGTCTTTATTACCTCCTGATTTTATCTAGCACAAATAATACATGCGTGCGGCAATACCCACCAGTAACTGTGGGGATGCAATATTGCTGCAATCTCCCTCAAAGCAATCTCCTGAGAAAACTGGTTGTGTTTCCAGCAGCACAAAACCCTTCATCTGAGCCCTCTTATCTTCACTAGTGAGTAGGACAGCTGGTCTGCAAGTTTGCAAACCAGCACATTTGAAACCAGCCAGCGCCCTCCCTTCAAAATGTATTTAAACTGGATTTTGTGAAAAGAGATGCAATCAGGCAGAATTTATAAACGATGCAAGTTACTAAATAGACTAAGTAATAGACATTACTCTTTTGATGCAGACCTGAAATTTCAATTTTGCCCAGCTATTGTTTTAAAGTAAAATGTCACGTAAAATGTCACTTCCAAATGAAAATACCACGTAACCTACTGAGCAACAAACATGCTCACCCAGCACCTGAAAACCTCATACAGAAGAATTGACCTCAGAGCTCCGCGTTGTGAAGCAAATGAGCTCACTCTTTCTACACCATGAAACTTAATAGCTACTGCAAAGGTAATGTTAAAAACATGGTAATTTCTCCGATCTTCCCATTAATAAAAACGGAGCCATGGGAGGAGCCTCTCTACCTATTAGCATCACTACAAATGCTCCTGTGAAGAGGAGGTTGCATGCTAGAGAGCTTACAGCCAAACACTGAGAAGGAAAGGCAAACAAAGTTGGACACAGCAGGCTAGGAACCGCAGCAGGAGGACAGGAAAACCCATTCCCAGGGACATTGAGGGCCATAACTCTCCAGCTCAGCTACTTTTATGCTTTGTTCTACAGTTCTTTCCAGTTTTCATTTTATTTACCTGGAGGAAATTGAAGGTTCATTGCCAAAGGAAGGAAGTGTGAGAATGGGGGCTTTGAAGTAGAGGAAGATGGTTATGATGGTGGCACAGCCCTCAGAGGGAGGGCTGCAGAGGCTGCACCCCCAGCTGGGACTAGGGCAGTGCAAGGGGCAGCCTGGCAGCGTAGGTCGGCCTCTGTCTTGCTCCTGGTACATCCCAGAGGCCTCCATCCAGGTTTCTGGGAGGGTAGGTGTGGCTGGGAGGCCAGTGCTTGGGGCAGCCTCTATGAATAACAAGGGGTAGTGCTGGTGGGACCTGTGCTGGGGAGAAGGTGTAGCCACTGTGGCCCAACAGTGGCAAGGGGTCGTGAGGAGGTGCTGGGTACAACATCAGGGGATGGAAGTGACCCTGCTCCGCCTGCTGAGCCAGAGCACCTGGGCTCAGCCCTTCTCTGGTCAACTGGTGGGAGGTGTCTGACAACAGTAAACCAGTCCAGGGCTTAGTCCCTCTCTTTTCCAGATTTGAAGGTTTTCAAGGGCCCATGGCTGGAGGAAAGCTCTCTGATGCAATGACCTGGTTTAAGCTCTCTCAAATGGTCTTCCAGAGTGAAATGCCATGTGCATGGTTTTGAGTCCAGAAACCTTTTTTTCTTTCCTATGAGCTAAAGATGGCTCAGTAGGTGCTATCAATAAGTGGAAATGATGCTTA